AGACACCTGAGGAGCCTCTTCCGAGGAGAAATTTTGGTGGCTTTGTTGGCCTCGGGCTGACGCTGTGCGATCTGGCTCGCAATCGCTGAGCCATCTCAGATGGACGGCAACCCAGTCATTCCGAAGCAGGAAAGCCACTTGAGGGATGAACTGGTCTCGAACATTTCAATTTGCTTGAGTCCTCCTTGCTAAATATATTCCGAATGAAGGAAAAGGGTTTGCGGAGGGTTTTAAGAGAGCTCAGCAATTTCGACTCCTGTTATTTTGCAGCTTAACTTCTAAGTCACGCAAAAGACGCCGGACGTGCCCGTTTGTGTTTCGGACCGCGGGTTTGCAGGTAGCCAAGTTACACAACGCCGAAGGACATTTGTGCCCACTATTTATCCATTTATTTCTTGAAGCCTTTTGATTTATTATTATATTTAAATAATTTTACAGGAAGCACGAGGTTCTCCCACCTGCAAGTTGCATATTTTTATATTTCTTCTTCTCTGGCTCTCGTGATTTGGACACGCGAGGCCGGATTCAGCAGCGTTGGGAAGAGCTGCTCCCACTGAAATTGGTGATGGGCTCTTAGGTTTCACGGAACATTACTGGAATGCGGTGAGGGGGGGTGGGGGGGGGGGGGGTTATGGAGGGAAATCTGAACGGATTGCAATGAAAAAGACAAATAAAGAGCTATTTTCTGTGCGTGGAATAGCATTAGATTTACTCTTTCTGCCTGCGTCCATTGGGCACAGACCGGGTGGCAAGGGTAGCTTTATTAAGCTGCTTAAAAGCCTGGTTTTTAAGGGGACATTTCAACGATCGTCAAATGTTGGGCAGCTGCCAAGAGGAAATTGTGCTAACAGCTCTCGCTTAGGGCTGATCGATTCCGTCCCTCGGACGGGATCGCGCGTTCTGCCCGGGGAAGCGCTGCCCTGTGCCGATCTGTTCCCCAGATCCAGCAAAGCCTTTCTCCGGAGACAGCGAGCAAAATCCATTTGGTTTGGCCTTATTCAATCCTTGGCCAGAAAGGGGAGCTGTAGAATTATGGAATGAAGATAAGGAGAGCAATATGTTCCATCAGATTTTTAAATAACAGCCAGGAAGGGAGAAGTCTGGGCGAGTGTATTGGCGCATGCGGCCGGGGAGGGAAGAGGAATGGGTGAATTGAGGCGGAGGGTTAGGAGCCAGCACCCCTTGGTTTTACTCCTGGATCTGCCCCCACTTTTCTGCCTGATGTGGAACAAGTCATAGAATCATGGAATCGTTTAGGTTGGAAAAACCCTTTAAGATCACCAAGCCCAACCGTTCCCCTACCCCTGCCATCCCACCCCCAAACCC